AGGAGTAAAAGGAACGCGGCAAATAAATGTCAGACCGTGGAGTAAGACTTTGAAATTCTGTTTCAGCAAACCGGGTAACACAATTGGAGAACACTGAAGTAAGATGGAAAAAACACACTGATACACAAAGGTTGAAATAACTAACTGGGATGCGCGAAACTGCCCGAACTTGCCAATTTCGAATGTTAAGTGCCGCAGTTTAACAGTGAAGTTGTTGATAAGGGTTGACATGAGGGGGTTAGCCAGGCATGTACTAAGCAAGTTGTTTTGTTATCCCGCTTGATAAACTCCTTTGTTGGTTCGTTGGGGTCAGGGTAACTTGAGGGGTTGAACCAGTCGCTTTACATACATTTGGTAGGCGAAAAAAGTAGTAGTCTCAGTGATGTCGAGTGTGAGCGTATATGTTGATGCTAGACATCTGCACCTTAGTAAAGGTTTCTTTGGAGCCTATGATGAACACACTACAGATAACTCTGAACGCGTAGTTAGTGCATCGTTTTCGCTCGTTCAGATTATAGGTTAGCCTTCAAACATACAAAATAGTGGAGTTGTTCTACTTTACAGCACTCGGTGGACATTTTGTTCAAGAGGTTGGCTTTGGTAGTCGTATTTTTCGCTGAGCCTCGAAGGCTGATTCGGATAGTAGTCTCTCCGGAAATAAAATCACCGTAATTCTTTCCGCATAATAATTCCTGTGATTGCGTACTTGATTCCACCAGTCACCCTTCCTCATCACTATCTGAGTGTGTTTTTAAAAATAATGATGTCAGAGTCGGAAACGAATTTCTTTCTACTCCAACTGAAACAAAGCTTTACCAGATTTTATATATTCCGTCTTTTCACTCCGTGTCCAGTGCAACCCAGATGACAACTCAAGAATGTCTGTATCCGCCAAAAATAATCCCTTATGTGATGTGAAGAAGTGGGTGAATAAATCATCGCAGATCCATCACACATTGAAAAGGTCCGCATGTATGGTCATTGGTAAGGCGTATTTACTAGAAAAACCATAAACAAGAGTAGGTATGGAGAACTAGACTCGAACGTATAGAGAATTTATTCTTTTCTTGAATAAATGACGCGCAAACTGAAAATCTAGAAATTGCCAGATAGGTAAACAGCATTTAACTTTGAGTTCAAAATAAATAACACTAAATCTGTTGATGGAGTCGTTTTCATTCGGTGCATTCCTTGCACAGTCACCCATTGCATGAATAGAATAAGCATCGATCCCGATAAGAGAGTGAAATTAACGTGCATGCTCAAAATTTCTGTACATTATCAGAGTATCAGACTCATGCTCAGTACACAACTTGATATTGTCGTGGACACAGTAACGGTGTGTCAATTGACCTCCAGCAGTCTTCAGTCGTTTTTTTTCGAATTCGTTGACGAACGCACTTTCATTTGACCATTTAACCATCACTAAACTCGTTACTTTGAGGTTTATCATATTCTCCTTCTAAACGTATCTGAACTTTCACTGCATCGTTCAAAATTGCTCCCATTTTAGTTATATACTCCACCCTGTTCATCAGGACAGCCTCAGATCTCACGCTTTGCAGTACTCATGCGTTAGAAGGTTCCTTTGTTCAGTTGGTGTACATCTGCCTTGGCATTCAAGATCAACGAGCTTCGTCTTGATCCGTTCCTTATAATACCCGAATTCAATAACTGATAGAAGAAGTAATAGAACCATGCCTTATATTCGACAACTTTGCGTCTCCCTGGTGGACTATGCTTTTATAATCCATAGAGTAGAGATTCAATTTGGTATTTCCTTGTTGGTATGCATGACAAGTTGGCAATGTAGTTTTCAGGTAGTTCTGGATAGGTAAGGTGTTTCAGGTTCTGTTTCATCGATTGGTTAATTTGGATAGCTAAATTCTTCCGCTTTGTCTTCATATNTCTTCATATTGAGGCGGAAGATAATTAAATTTACTTGAAAGAACCAGATAACTCCTCTAGCACCAACCGTAATTCCTAAATTGTAGGTCCTCCAGCAGTTGTAATTCAAACGTAATGTTTTCAATGAAATATTCGTACGTTTCCTTCAAACTATATTTAAACAGGCATAAAGTAAGACTGAGTTGGTTGCATTCTATACGTGGGAATAGATATCAGTCCCTCATGGTCAAAGGTCGTTACGAAATTATGCCAAGTCAAATCTTATCCACATTTTAAAGTGTTGAAAATTGATCGTCCACTTGGGATAAACTGAACGGTATATTTTACGGTGTGTGATTGAACGTATATCATAGTAGTTGGTGCACATACGTGTCCATCAATCTGAATCGGTTTAATAAAGCTCGCCAGCAATTATACCATCGGCCGCGTACGTTGTATACTTCCAAAGTGGGATAAAGCATGATTTTAACTAAACTTTTGCTTCCACTGAGTTTGTCTACATTTCCCACTGATGTTGACTGCAATTCAACAAAAGAATAGGGCTATAAAAACGGAAGATTAGTTTGTGCAAAACAGAAAGAACTGTTCGTCCTTGTCCTGGTAGAAACATGAATTGTGCAAGCTCTAACCGTAACACGTTTTACATTCTTGTTGTATCAATGTCCAATTTTTTGTATGCGTCTGGGAGCCATTGATCCAAGTATGCAATGCACACGGTTATTCTGCTTTGTCCACTCTAAAAGTTTATTTGAGGAAAGGCCAGTTTAATTTCTGGAGATAAATGTTCATAAAGATGGAGATTGTTAGCTTTTTCAAACACTTTACCCTAAAATAAATTTGAGGAACTTCTTTTTCGGCTATGAATTTGCTATTTTATTGAAAATAATATTAATCAAAGGAGTTTTGATTTGCAATATGTTTGAAGATAAAACGGTATAACCTCAAAATGATCTATGGGTTTCCCTTAGTCTCTGGGCAGAAAGAGATGCTGAATAGCTGAGGATAATAAAGTAATGTGTAAGCCTAATGTTTTGCTACTCCAGCTATGCTGTACTACTGGAATCGAATTAAATAACATCGTCTCTAGTCCCAGATGGGGTTAACGTTATGCCTAGGGAATTCGGCCACACATCGTTTCACTCAATTTATTTTCATACTCACTAAAACAAAATCCGGGATTGTTAGATGACATTGCCTGTGCACAGCTGTGTTGATGGACCATTCACATGCGATGAGCAATTGCTTTAATTGCAGGACTAATTGTACATAAATTCCAGGTTTATGGGTAAAACACACGGGGCCGTTCGCAGTTGGAACGCTCTTGGAAAGGTGTGTGTGAGTGTGTGTTATCTGATCGGTCGGGTTTGTTTGTGGGTAATTTTTCCAACTGGTCATTTATCACCTTGTTTGCTTGCCCACCGACTAGTCCGTCAGTCCGTCTACGCCGTTTCACACACAGTGCTTGCTTGTTTTTGGGACATGTCTATCTATCTATCTATGATTATCTGTCTGTTTTCATTTGTCGCACCGTGGTTCACGACGCTAAACCCCGATTGCCCAATTGACGCTCCTTCAAACCATACTACTGGCAAGCAATTGTGCCAATGTGTCCCCGTGTACACGGGAACCCAATCGGTGGATGTGCCACAATACGCACACACGTCCGGCCGCCCGCCCGTCACGTATGTGCTACCTTAAGACCTGTGAATCCGTCGCTCAGAGTGTTAGACCACCGACTTGAATTATGTTCCAACTGCGGAGTAGATGTGCCAGTACGAAATATCAGTTCGTGTCGTATTTTCCCTGTGTCCTTCCGTGTGCGTGTGCCTATGTTTTCATGTACGTCTTCGCGTGTGTGCGTGCGTGTGTGCAACATGTAGGCGTGCTACTCTAGTGTTGATTAGATGAACTAAGTCGCCGTTCAGGATGGTGATTACAAACGTCCTTGGAATAGTTCTGACCTGGATTTTCCATTTAACGTGTGTTATGCTTGAGCAAACGAATGGTGCAAACGCGGTTGAAACTAGCACTAGCAAATTCTAACAGTCAAATCATGTTTCTTCAAACAAACACGTGGTGATAATTGCATTCGAAATTGGATTATGTGATCAACATTAGTCATGCATTGCCATCGTGCCGTGCACAGCCTCATTTCCGTGTCCAAACCCTTGTTA